TTCTTTAGTTGGAAGTTGATGGAGGGTCAACGTAGTCGGATCAAGTACTGCAACGGGAAATTGGCTCCTGAGAGCCATCTGTATCCTTTCTGTCTAAGTTGTTTATATATCTCCTTATTTGGTACACCTATGTGATTAATTGAGCATGAAATTCCTTGGTTCTTGACTGTTATTATTTTTGGTACCTCATTGAGCTTATAGCTCACCCCGTTTTGTTATCCTTGTTTTCCTTACAGAAAAATCTTTTGGGAACAATGATGTTTGGAAGCATGAGTTGAGCTAGATATATATTCTTTTGTATAGCTCCTCAAGAGATATAAACCTTGAATGTATTTCGATCCAACAACTCCCTTTTTTATTTGTAAATTTGCAATCATGTATTTATATATATATATATATATATATATATATATATATATATATATATATATAAGTGTTTAATCATGTACATGGGTTACCCCGATCAAACGTGTTCATTCTTTACACCTACATGGAGTTTAATGAAATTACTGAGATTTTGGACGAGTATAGTATTCAAGTGCGAAAAGAAAAAAAAAATCTAGCAGGGATTTCGACAATATTATGGGTTGGTAAGTTACATTTAACTTGGAGGTTTCCCAATCGTTCGTTTTCTTTGGTTTCTTTCACGCGTGCTACAGAAGTGGGAGTGATTCGACCCCGTAGTCCCGGCGAGAGTTGGGCAGGCGGTCCGCCGAACCCTTTGGTTCGGCTTAGGGGGAGGTGGGGCTATCACAACTTTCATAGTTGCGAATTTCTTCAATTAACAGTTAGTTATTACTATCAATGATGTGGTAAGTGTCAGTAATAAATGTGAGACGTGAATTGAAATTTACAGATATCATTTTACAGGGGTGGTTATTATCTGTTAATTAAAGTTTAGGAGTTTTAATTTTATGGATTAGTGGGGAAAACTTGGGGAAAATGTGGGGGAAATGTGAGGAAAACGTGAGTATGATTATAGGATTTGTGGGAGTGATTATAGAATTTGTTAAGAGATAAACATTTCTTAATTATAAAAATATAAAATTCTATTAAAATAGCATTCAGACTTTTGACAATTTTGAAAGCTCCTTATCCAAAACCCCCTCTGCAATACATATAGATATAGATGTGTATTATACGAAATGAAAAAAGAACTCACTAGAGAGGAACCAAATCCATCTAAAATTATGTCAGCAAATTCTATCATATTTTGTATTGTAGATTCACAATTAGATGATTAATCATTTTTATAGTTGAGAAGGGCCAATCTGACATCGTCTTACAAATTTGTTCATTTTTCGTTAGGTAAGACTTGCAGCTTGCGCGCGTCCTAGTTTTTGCAAGGAGAACCACGTTGTTGTTATTTGTTACCCTTACTTTCTCATTTGGTTAAAGTTAACTAAGCCTTTGATAGCATGTGTGATGAAAGTGGGGCATGACTTGAAAAGATTATTAACTAACGGTTAATATCCTTAACCTATAAAAGACTAATTGAGACATGCTTTTCTGTAAAAAATCATAATCGCAACTTTTGGAAGTTCTGTAAAGAGGATAACATACTCATTTATAGTCTTAATATACTAGCACAAAGTGTTATCAAGTAGTAGTAAAGAGAATTTGTCCATTGATTCGCAATAAATAGACGGCGAATTTACCCTAAAGAGAAGCGAAAATAGATTACGAGTTCAAGTCCATTCTCATCAATTTATCACAATTATTCAGAACAAATCATAGTTGAAACAAGTGATGAAATTTGGACCTTACAAGATCAATACAATGTGGGTTGAGGTGAGAGGGAGTCCAAAATGTCCCACAAACATTAAATGAGTCACTTTGCAGCTTGAGAGGAGCTTATGGGCCTACGTATCGTCCCTTAAAGCCCTGTTTTTCAGGACGCTGTTGAACCCCTTTTTCTGTTTGTTTTGATAGTTTTAATATTTAATCATTTATGTGTTTCTTTTGTTTTAGGCCTGATGTTGGCAAAATGTGATTCCTGTTTTATTCAATTAAATTTCATTCATGGTTTTAGAAAAAGAGAGATTACTTTTTTCGTTCTTCCATCACGAAGAATTCAGTTAGTTGTTCTTTTTTTTAACCATGGAAATCTCCAAATCTCTTTTTTTTTTCTTTTGATTATACGTTAATTAACCCAAAATTCATTGTACTAGTTGTCTAGGTTCACTTGAGACAGAGTACAAATAAAGGCATTGACCTATTGTACAATTGTAAAATGGGATAATTTCAGAAACCTCCCCTGAGGTTTCTGACAGTCTCACTCTTCTCCCCTGAACTTTGCAAAATATCAGATATCTCCCTTGTCAGATTATTGGGCCTTATTTGTGATATCATTGGTGATGAATTGACAGATATACCCTCATAACTTATGATATATTTTGAAGCTATTTTGACAGAATTATTTAAATGAGTAATAGAGATATAACTTATGATATACCTTCTATTCCACTTTACATTTTTTATTCGTAGTACAATCACCAATGAAGAGTTTAGCACTAGTGTTAACTTTTTCTAAAGTCATGTATTTCATTTTTTTTTGTAAGACAATTATCTAGTGTACCTCATTACTTATATTTGGGTAAATTTGGTTTTCAAAAAATCAATGACGTAAATTGTACATTACATCATCTCATAAAGTAATGCGACACAATTTGGATTATTGAATTTTTTGAAAATCGAATCTACCTAAGTTCTGGTATTCAAACGAAGCTTGTTGAATAAATTCGACTAACTACAGTGTGAATTAATTTTTTTTTAAATCTCAACTAAAGTATCTAGCACTAAATGAAATGAAGTATCTTGCTAGTTCATTTCATTTTCCACAGAGAAAATCGCAAAAAGAATTATTAAACTATTGAGAATTTGGTTATTTGATCGTTACACTATTTATTTAACTGCAATTGCCATTCACTCAATTAACCAAATAGTGAAAAAATTTTTGTGACTTAACTAGTAAAGATTTATACTTTTAGTCACTCAAATAATATTTTTTATGACTTAACTAATAAAAATTTGTACTTTTAATCACTCAAATTATAAAACTATACATTTTTTTATATCACCAGAAGTATGTTTCAATTAATTGAATGATCATATTAGCTAAATAAATGTCTAATAGCTAAAACAAAAAAATATAAATAGCATTGTAACATTGCTTGAAGAAGCCATCTGCATTTGTCTCTATTTGGTTCAACTTATTACTTCTTTTTTTTTTTTTTTGCTTTTGCTTTAGCTCAAGTTGTGGATAAGCAAAAAGGGCATATGCGGAACACAAATATCATCTCACTCCTCAAAATATTTTTTTAATGCTCATTTTTCTGACATGGGCTCATCTTGTTACTCCAACTATAAGTTCAGGGGAGGTATCTGATATTTTGCAAAGTTTAGGGGAGGTGAGTGAGACTGTCAGAAACCTCAAGGGAGGCTTCTGAAATTATCCCTTGTAAAATTTATACACATTTTCTCTCCAATTTGGGTAATTTATCCCTAGCTCTATATATCATCTAAAACATATGGTGTGGAATTCAAAAATGGAAAATTAAATATTCGTACAAACATATCACCTTTAAAGCTCTTTGGGGAATCAATAATTTTACTAATGCCCTTTCCAGCAGTTGTCTCAAGCAGCCGAAAACCAAATTGCAGACATCCTTCTTAAACGAACTTAAGTCCCATACTTTCATTCTTTGCAAAAATTCTCCAATTTGAAGAAGTAAAATATGATTCTGAAAATTTAGCAAATCTCAAAATTGGATATCCTAAATCCAAACCTAAGAAAATGGAGTACTAATTCTATCCTGATTAAGCCACGTAATGCCTTTTGCAATCCCCATTACAATTTTTACCGTAAACCTGTTTTGGGCAGAAAAGAAAGTGTTGTTATTACTTTACCCCCTTAAACTATATTACTACTATCAGTTTACCCCCTAATGTTATTTTTTAGTTACTTCACCCGCATAAGTAATTCAACTTAACATGTTAAGAAAATTTGGATAAAAATACCCTTTTATTCTGTAGCATTACTACATTGTTATTGTTACTTTATTCCTTTAAATTATAGTAATATAATTGCTTTAATTCTTAACATTATTTCTAGGTATTTTACTTCATCGTTAATCTAACTAGTATGGTAAAAATTAGATTTTGCAAAGAAAAAATAAAGAAAAGTCTAATATTATTGTATTAATTTAAGATTATTGGGATTAGAATTGAAATCTGGTGGTAAACAGTAAAGTGAAATAATTTTAAAATAATAAAAGTATTTAATTCTTTCTTATTTGTAATTTTTTTTAAAAAAAAAGAATTGAGCTCTCTTTCAATCTCTCTCTCCCTCTCTCCCTCCCCCTCACCATCTTTTTTTTAATATTAATAAGATTGTCAAGAAGAAAGAAATTAATACTTTGACTTTTTTCTTGATACTAAAAAGGAGAAGAGTCACTCTAAATTTTTTATTATTTTTATTATACAAAGAGAAGAGTACTTTCTTCTAAAGTTTTTTAACTTGCTAAGTTGGTTTAATGGTGGGATAAATTATCTAAAAAATAATTTTATGGGTAAATTGATAATTAGACCATAGTTTATGGGGGTAAAGTGATAATAACTTTAAGAGTAAACTTGTCTTTTCACTTTAATTAACAAACTCCGTTAAGTTGGACGGTTAGTTTTGGGGGTAAAGTGACTAAAAGATAACGTTAAGGGGGAAATTGATAATGACATCTAACGTTAAGGGAGTAAAGTAATAATAACCCGAAAAGAAATGATCATAGCGGTTTCCAAATTGGGCTATCATATTCTTCCAAGAATCATGAGTTCAAACATAAATTGTTAATCAATGCTATCAAAATGATGGAGTTTGAACCTCAAATAGAAAAAAAAAAAAGAAAGATAACAAAGTTCCTTGATGGCAAATTGACACATGTTTGAAAAGAAATAGCACACAACCATCATTAAATTCAGAAAAATGAAATTACACAAAATAGGCCAACAGCAAAATATCAGAATAATCTCATTGATTGTTTCCACCATATTTTGACAAGAAAAGAGCCATCGATCCTTTCAACTTTTACCTCAATTTTCCACAAAAGCACCAAAGAAAGCCAGACCACGCAGATGACCAATTACAATCTCAAGAGGAAAAACCAACCGAAGCACTCCCTGATGATATCATCAAGAAAAAAACAGAGCAATAACTAGTTGTTTGCTCATCAATTTCAATGTGCTCGTGCATGCATTACAGGCAATTGAAGTCCAAAAAAGCTACCAAAAGAAGCTACAAGCCAATTAACAGTAATGACAAAAAAAAAAATTACCAGATATTGAACCAGCTGATGCCCTTCAATCTATGATGATGATCTTCAGATTCTCATTTCCATAATTTTTTTGTGCTTCTTCAATTTCCCGTGCCAAAGATTTGACACCATCTACACAACGTAGCACTCTAATTGTTTCAAGAGTTGATATACGGCCTAAACAAGCAGGCACCATTTCCAAATTAGAAATTCCGTAGAGATTTAATTGCTGAAGGCACGGGAAGTAATCATCACTGTCAGGGTCTGTCTGTGCCCACTCCATAACCTTTACATCTTCTAATGTCAAGACCTTGAGTTTAGGGAATCCTCCTTCCATCAGCTCCCATTTTTGGCCCTCCATTGACCACTGTCTTAATTTGAGGACTTCAAGATTGGGTAGTTGTTCAATCAATGACATTTTTCTACAGGGAAGACCCAGATTGAAAAGACACAACTTCTTCAAATTCATGGGAAAAGAAAGCTCCACATATTCCAGCGAATCAAAGGAGCCGTGGCCATCTAAGGTGAGTGATTCTAGGCATACTAGTCGACTCATGTTGCAGCATACTCTATTTTGTTGCCGCACATATAAAATTTTAAGTCGGCGAACGTTGAGAATCCTTCTCAATATGTTCTCAATGTCACGATAAAGAAACAGAGTAGAGAGTGTGTCTAAATTGGGTAAAGTAGAGAGGTTTTCAACAACATTGTCGTTGGAAGACAGACGAATATCAAAAACGGGTCTTACATGTACATGCATCAACTTCTTCATGTTCCAGATGCTATCTGGCAATGAAACAACCGCTGTAGAATCCAGACAGAAGGTTTCCAAATGTGAGAGCTTGGCTATAGATGGTGGAATGAATTTCATGCGCTCTGCTTCAAGGGCTAAGTACCTTAAACAAAGAAGTGATTCGACTTCAGTTGGAAGCTCTTTCAGCCTTAGGTTAATGCCCTCTAACTTCAGAACTTTAAGATGTTTGTAGATGTAAAAAAGGAAGGAGATGTTATGGAACTGAAACTCATTATATCCTGGAGTACCATCAACGAATAGAGTACCTAAATATGGGCAAAATAGCTTTGACTTCCTAAAATCTTCTCCACTGGAGCAAATGGACAACCGAGGTAGGTTGGGAGGCTCATTAAAGGTAGAAAGCTCATCATATCCTCGCAAAACCTGAAGAAAATTCTTTTCTTTCGCCTCGCCCTTACAGAACTCAAATATCAAATCGTGAATGTAACAAGTTTTGACTCCACCAATGGATCTGCTTTTACTTACCATAACTAAGTTTCGACCAATAAGGTCCATCAGATATTCTTCTGCAATGCCCTCTGATCTCTTTCCTTCAATTTTTTCCACAAACCCTTCTGCAATCCAGAGACGCATCAAATTCTCCGCACTAATTTTTTCATCTTCTCGAAATGCAGCAAAATACAGCAGGCATGCCTTCAAGTGATATGGTAAATGCTCATAACTGAGCTCCAACGACTTCTTGCACTGGTCTGTACCAGACACCATGGTTAAAGTTAAACTTTTAGCAAATTTTTCCCAAACCCAAATATCATGCTCTATAGTTGCTAGGACCCCAGCTACAACAACGAGTGCAAGTGGCAATCCCCTGCACTTTTCGGCAATCTCCATTCCCAACCCATGCAATGCTTGAGGACAATCTTCTTTTCCAAAAACCTTCTTCTGCAGTAATTCAAAACTTTCTTTCTCACCGAGCGGGCGAAGATAGTGAGGTTTCCCCCCATATTCAACCTGTGAAGCCACATTAGAAAATCGGCTCGTGAAGATGATTTTACTTCCTTTCTTGTCATCCGGGAATGAAATTCTCAGCTCATTCCATACCTTAATGTCCCAGACATCATCAAAAACAACAAGATACCGATTCTCCTTTAGCTTTTTGTAGAGCTTTTCAAGCAGCGCATGTTCATCCAGATTTTGAAACTCATCATCCATCCTGGAATGTTTGCCTTCAGAGCACAAAATTTGAAGTAACACATTTTTCATGTTATAGGCTTGAGAAACAGTACACCAAAGACGAATGTGGAAGTTACAGATTACTGAACTATCATTGTAAACTTTTTGGGCTAAAGTTGTCTTACCAAGCCCAGCCATTCCCACAATGGGAACAATTTCCACATGTTCTGGTCCCCATATAAGTCGTTCAATTACTTCTCCTGCCTCATCATCAAGACCAACCATGACTTCATGGGCTATTGGCATTTTACCTTTTGATAGCATGTGGCTGGAAGTCTTGCTAACTTCTGGCGCTCTTAAGCTATGAAAGGAAGGAAGACTTTCAATAATGCTTGAGCCACTGATCTGATCCTTAAAATGCTTGATATGGATGTTGGTATTAGCCAGCATATCATAACAGTCAAGGGCCTCTGTGGATTCTGAGAATCTAACTTCTCCTTCCTTCACTCCGTTTAGAGAGGGCGAGCAAATTATAATGCCTGCCTCACTAAGAAGAGCACCAATTTTTTCGTTTTGCTCATCCATCTTCTCCTGCAGCTCCCTTAAAATGCTTCTCAAAAACCTCAGTCCTGCATAGAGTATTCGCATTTCATCTTTCATAGAATCCACAAAGCTAGAGCTGCAGCATAACAGCTCCCAGAGACAACTTATCAGAGAATCATTGAAGTTGTTCAATATCTGCTTATCCATCATTCTATCATGCAATGATTTTGAGGACCTTGTAGCTCTAAGAACTTCCATGTGAATCCCAAAGACTTGAAAATCAACAGCTGTGATTTTCTGTTGTTGCTCATATATCATGGAGCAGAACTCAGGATTGTGCCGTTCCTCATCATCCCAAAAAGAACACATGTAAGAGAGGCGTGCTGCGTTCAAAGCCATCACTTCAAAGTGAGCCAATAGCAAAGCAGGAATATCTGCAGTTCCTCGCAATTTGGCAAAGGGTATGAAGCTTTTCAAGAATGTTAGCTTTTCTTCAAGGGCTTGGAATTGAGCAATAACTTGGGGATCCATATCAAAAATACACAAATCGCTAGTTGTTAAATCCGCTAGATTTTGTAGAATAAGGTCGATAAATTCTATTAGTTCATCAGCTGGCATGCAAGAATTTGATTCCAATGATCTGCTGCTCGCCAAAGTGAAGTAAACTTGGATGATTTCTTGCTTAAATGATTTGATTTGTTTCAACAATTTGGGGAACACTTCATTGCCAACATAACGTACGTCACGTGCATCAGATTTCAACACAAGGAAAAGAGAGTGAACGGTATCTTCAATGCAAGATAAGAAAGATGGAAGACTCACCTTCTTCACTACATTATCAGATTCCAAGTACAAATCATTGCAGTGGCTCCACTTTCTTGCACAGATAACAAATGTTTTGAGAAATTTCATGCGTTTGATTGCATCACGAACACGATCAAGTAAGACCCGATCATGGTAAGGATCATCCCGGCTTCGGAAGCTGTTCAGGAGCAACTCTAGATCAAGTAAGACCCGATCGATGCTGCAAGTGGAGACCATCTCCATCTCTTATGCAGGGATTTTGGTCTCAAATTTTAAGAGAGAAGCAAATCTCACTAATTGCAGAGCCAGCAAGTATTTCTTTCCTGAGAATTACTTCTTTGCTTTTCTTCTTCTGAAGAGTATTGAGACAATCAATTATTGGCAACAAGGTGGAATCGGCATCGAGGTGGACCCGAGACACTGATACTACTACAACTAGGGAGTTGGGCATCTGAGGATTTAAAAGATACTACAATTTTGTCATTTTAGCAAAAGTTAGTGTGAAAATAAATCGTGGGTCATTAGCAATATTATTTGCTCATGTCTAATTACAAAAGGAAGTTGATAAAATTAGTTGACTCTGTTGTCAACATTTTAATGGGGAAATTTGGTATGGCAATCTCTCATGATTACAGAGAAATGCATTATTGGAACATTTTCTAATGTTGTCTAAATCCGCTAGATTTTGTAGAATGCGGTCTATAAATTCCATTAGTTCATCAACTGGCATGCAAGAAATTGATTCCAATGATCTGCTACTTGCCAAAGTAAAGTAAACTTGCACACATAACAAATGTTCTGAGAAATGTTATAACGAGAGAGAGCGGTCAAAAAAAGATGTGTAACTAAACCCACACTAGTTGCTCATCCCTTCCATCACACCCCTATATATATATATATATATATATATATAGTGTCAAAATGACATACGTTGTCCTGCGTGGTGAAATCTTCAAGCTAACTCTCTAATTTTCTTTCTCGAGCAAACCTCTAAATTTGATCACTTTCTCTTCTAATGTTCTCGTGTTAATAATCATGACCATTGATCTGGGAGATTAATAACCATGACCAACAAAGTAAAGAGTCCGAGAAAAAAAAATTGAGGCTTCTTCAACCCTCGAGATTGTGGAAATAGAAAATTTGGAATTTCAACAATTACCAGTATCATAATAAATACGCATTATCATAATAAATATAAACGCTAAGATAATAAATATAAACAGTAAAACGATAATGTACAAAATTAATGTTACCGGAGTGCATTAGTGTTACCAATATACAATCGTCAAAGAAAATGACTAAGGAAGTAGATGAGGAATTATGAGAGTTAGCACGGCGGCTAATCAATGCGGATTTCAGTATAGAATCAGGAAACTTAAAAACGAAATGTAATTGTTTAAGGATGCAGAAATGTATAGTCCTGCATGGGCTAGTTTTGTGCTTAAACAGATGTCTAGCTGTTCAGGAAAGGTGATTGGTTCGTGTTTATATGCTAGAATATAAGTGCTGGAAAGATATTTGTCATGTTTTATATATACGCTTCAGCAGAAAGTTTTTTGGAGCTTAGTATAGCAATATTTTTTTTTAAAGCTTAGTACAGCTTAGAGTCAGCCGAAAGCAATTAAATTTTATACCACACGAACATTGGCAAAGATGCTTTAACCTAACCCTCCTGAATAATTAATGAGCAAGTTCAATGATTATGTCCCACAAGATTGGCAGATCTTTAAACTAAAATTTAATTGACACAGGGGGATGGGCAGGGACAGCCGCCCTGCAAAAGTTTTCAGAATTTTAAAATCCTTCCTATAATTCTAGTTGTCAACTAAAATTATATTATTTTGGCTCTCCTAAATATAATTATAAGTAAATTTTATTTGTTATTTTGTTTAATTTCTTTTGATAAAGGGTCCTATACCAAACTAACAATTAACTTCCTTAAAAATGTATATGATTGGTATGTACTTACCGTACGATTAGTATTACTTTGAATAATAATTCCTGTTTGGATTGCTATTTCTAAGAGTTTTTGTAGAAAAAAAATATATTATAACAATTTGATGTATGTGAGGTAAAAAAGTGATTGAAAAATATATTCATGAAAAACGTAAAAATTTTTCTGTGAAAAATCACAATCCAAACTTTTTTAACCAAATTTCTTATAACGAACGTACTATTAGTTTGTTTGATTACTATAACTTTAAAATAGCAACAAAGATAACAATGTACACGTTACATAGGAAATCAAAGGAAAAAAAATTCAACTATCCTATAAATTGAAGAAGTTCAACTATGATTATGAATGCGTCACATTCATAGTAAATATAACAGTGTAGAGTCTAATTTTTATATTTTCCTTTATATTTTGTCTTTATGTTTTATAAATTTCTTACTCCTAATTATAATTTATTGAACTCTCATTTTACATTTAGTATTTTTTATTTGCTACTGCAACGGGCTCTTGGAGGCATATGTAAGTGGTGGGCTCACTGCTTGTGAACAATTTTTATTTTTTTTTTCCAAAGTGAAAAAGAGAGCTACATAAATTAAATTACAAATGAGTCAGACTCAATCATTTTAGGAAATTTAATGCTTCTTACATCTTCCACACAAATATTCCCAAATAGATTAGGTGGTTCTACATGCAAAGCAAACTCTTCCAATTGGTTATATCCTAGATTTGCCTTGAAGACCGTAGTCCTCTTTGCCTATATGTAGATATGCTTAAATGTGACCAACTGAATTTGGCAGAGTAAAACTCTCCGCCAATCACAACGCTAGGCCCCAAATGAAGATATTCAGCGGCAACAGTAACAGAGAAATTGATTAGATTTTTGCGTCTAGAATCCTTTGCATGATAAAGTCAAGGAGTACGAATGATAAAATAGGGAAATCCCAAGTGCTAGAGCTAGTGTTAGAAAACACCTCCTTCACTAAAATGTTATCTTCTCCTAGAGACAGGGGTCCATGAATGATGTTATGAAAAAAGGATGACCTAAAAAACAATTTTTTATAGTACTACCACATCATAATACTATACCTCATAAAAATATAAATTTAAAAAATAAAAAAAATTGAAAAGAAATACACTTGCATCAATTTAACTCTATTTGTTCAAAACTGGTTTCTTATGAATTTATATTGTTTCCAACATACCTTTGCTCAAACCATTAAATTGTACCAATCAATATAAAAATCATCTCAAAATAAGCAAATAAATCATACCCCACTTTATCATAGTCACAAAAGTAAAAGATAAACATAATTCAATTTATTATAATTTACAAATAAAATATTGCATAGTCATCCAAAAAATGAGTAAGAGAGAATGATGGAAAAAGGGAAAAAGAAGAAAGTGACTTTTGTTTCTTTTTTTAAAAATTTTTGAGTTCCATTTATTTGATATGTTGTAAATTATATGTCAAGTGAGGGTTATTATAATCTTTTCACAATTACTAGGAGAGATAAGTGACATTTCTAAAACCTCAAGCGTGCCAGGTAATATTAAGAGAAATCTTAGAGGAGGTTTCTGATATTATCCCATTATTTCGCTAATTTCCTTTCCAGCAATTAACTCAAGAAACAGAACACCAAAGTTGTAGACACCCTTCTTAATCGCGCGGTCTCATTTGTCCAAGAGTCATGAGCTCAAACATAAATTGTTAATCAATCGTGTCAAAATGATGGAGTTTCAAAAAAGCTAAGAGCTTCTTGCCTTGGTGTTGGTGTATTTTAATAAAATCTTAATTTTTGGATAAATCTTTTCAAGGAGTTACAATAGTATTCATTGGTGAGTTATGTAAATTGTTATTGTGGGAGTTACATTGCATTTTGAATGGAGTTATAATTGTGAGTTACTTTTTTGAATAAGAGTTACAAAAGAATTATTTGGTATTGTGGGAGTTACAAAAGAATTTTGAATAAGACATTATGTATTATTGTGGGGGTTACAAAAAGATTATTTGAATAACTGTTACACATTAGTTTTTCTTTTACTTAAGATTTTGTAGCCTATAAATAGTGGAGTTCTCAAAAGGTTTTGAAACACTTCTTCTCACAACAAAAAATCACTCTAAAATACTATCCTCCTCACATTTATTTCTTTCTCCTTCATTCTGTTTTCTTTGGGCAAAGAAGGATATTGGGAAGCTTCTGCTTCTCTTGGTTGTGCAGATCAAAGAGAAGTAACAACTATAGAGTTGGGCTGTTGTATCCTGGAGGCGGCGCGCTAGACCTTCTGCATCGGTTTGAAAAGCACCGTAGGGGCGCGTATCGTCTTAAAGAGAGCGTTCTACGCGCCTCAGCCCTACCGAACTTCTTAGTAGCTGTCAATTCCAAGGTGGTTATTTTTTGAAGATCAGAGATTGTTCGTGTACTCTCTTCCAACACTTGGTACAAATTCCCTATTTTCCAAGTACCAATGCTACAAATTGACACATTTTTGAAAAGAAAAAGCACACAACAATCACTAAATTCAGCAACACAAAAATTACGCAAGATTCACACACAAATTTGAAAACAAGTCATAATTTTTAAGCCTTTATGCTGCCGTGCAGATTGATAAAATGGTGCACGGTGTATGAACCTCATTGATCGTTTCCGCTGTATCTTGACAAGAAGAATCGATCCTTTTAACTTTTATCTCAATCTTCCACAAAAGTACCAAAGAAAGTCAGAACACACAAATGACCAATTACAAAATCTCAAGAGGAAAAGCTACCGTAGCACTCCCTAATGATATCATCAAGAAAAAATAGAGCAATAATTAGTTGTTTGTTCATCGATTCCAGATAATGATAATACTACAACTAGGTGTTGGGCATCTGAGGATTTAAAAGATACTACAATTTTGTCATTTTAGCAAAAGTTAGTGTGGAAATAAATCGCGGGTCATGGCAATATTATTTGACCATGTCTCTCACACATATTATGAGAATGCATTAAGAAATTTGCTTCACCCAAAATCCAAATTTATCTTGCAAGAGGAAGTTGATCAAATTAATTGACTCTGTTATCAAAATTTTAATGGACAATCTCTCATGATTACAGAGAAATCTGTATTAGTTCCCCTAGTCATTACAAGTAACAGAGCAAGAAACAGAACATCAGTAAAGTAAAAGACAAAATGTTGGAATTATCATAAAGTAATCTTATGTTTAGAAGAGTAAAGAAGTTTTCATTAATAATTTTAGTTACAATAACATCAAAAATTATTATTTTTGGACTATTTCATATGTGGATTGGAGTTGAGAAGGACTACTCCGGCACTGTCCATTATAGGTGGCAAACAAACCTATTTAACTAAATTTATCCATACTTATCCATGAATAAATGAATATGGATATCTTAAGTTTTTGCATATGCGTATAAAATGGATTACCCAATAATACCCAA